TCGACAGGGCAAAGGCTCGACAGGGCAAAGGCTCGACAGGGCACAGGCTCGACAGGGCACAGGCTCGACAGGGCAAAGGCTCGACAGGGCAAAGGCTCGACAGGGCAAAGGCTCGACAGGGCAGTGGCTCGGGTTTCCAACCTTCTGTTTCCTCTCTTCAAAGAGGCACCCATGGGCCGGCCGTACCCACGTTCCCAGTCGATGTTATTTCAAGTTACATTACGTTCCAAGAAGCATGCTTTCTTGTGTGTTGACTTAATTATTTTTAACCACTAGAGATAAATGTGATATTGTCTCTGTCTGTCCTTGGCACCATATTTGTCCATGATATTTTTTGCTCTCTGCCGCTGTGGGGACACTTACTTCCAGCAGTCTGTTTTGTCTCAAAAGTCTTAATGGTTCTTTCTCTCTCACACACACTCACACACACACCATCTTTCTCTCTCACACACACACTCACACACACACTCTTTATCTCTCCCCCCCACACACCATCTTTCTCTCTCACACACTCACACACACACTCTTTCTCACACACATTCTTTCTCTTACACACTCACACACTCTTTCTCACACATATTCTTTCTCTTACACACTCACACACACTCTCACACAGACTCTTTCTCTCTCACACACTCACACACACACACTTTCTTTCTCTCACACACATTCTTTCTCTCACACACTCACACACACTCTCTCTCTCACACACAATCTTTCTCTCTCACACACACTCACACACATACTCTTTCTCTCCCTCCCTGCCCCCACACTCTGTCTCTCATACATACACACACATACACACTGTCTCTCTCACACGCAGACTCTCTCAAACATACACTCTGGCTCTTTCACACATAGCACACAAACTCTCACACACATATCTTCTCTCTCTCACACACACACACTCACTTTCTCACACATTCTCTCTTGCACACACTCTGTCTCACACACACATACTCTCACATACACTCTGTCTCTCTCTCATACACACACACACACTCTCTCTCTCTCTCTCTGCCAACAGTGTTACCCACACACTCTCACACAGGGCAGAGGTCCACACTGATGCTTTTCTAGGCTCGGGTACCAACAAGGGGCTCCAGGAAATCCATGGGTCATCTTCCAGGACAGCCTTTCCCTTTGGCTGCAAACACTGAGCCCGCTGCCGTGCCCACCTCTGGGCGTCTCCTGGGGAGCACAGCGCGAGGGAGACCGTGACTCTCCACAGCATGTTCCTCATTCCAGCCTGGTCAGCCCACCCTCCCAGCAGCAGCCCAAGGGCTGGGTGCTCTCCACTCCAGGCTCAGCCAAACGGACTCCAGCCCCTGAAGACGGAGGTGCAGGCCTGCTAGTGCCTGTATGGCCCTGACTGTGTCCTCCTCTGGGTGATCTCACCCAGTGCAATGCCTTGAAGCACCGTGCCAGGGTTGATGCTACCAAGCCTGTCCCTCCAGCCCTACCTCTTCAGCGAGGCCCAGGCTAACATGTCAAGCATCTACTTCATGTCTCGACCAGAGATCAGGCAGGCATGTCCAGGTCGACACAACCAAAGCTGAAGTCATGACACTTCTAGCCTCCTTCTTCTTGGTAAATGGCTCCACAGCCTCCCCGGTCCCAAAGCCGACCATGTAGGCTCCATCCTCCAACCCTCTCCTCTCACCCCTGCATGGCAAATCCTGTCAAATGCGCCTTCCAGATTTGCAGGCTCCTGATCACATGTCAGCCCCTCCGGGCTTCCACCTCAGGAAAGCTGCCACCCCTGGTACCCAGTCAGCCTCTGTGAGACCCCTCCGTGGAGTGTCACCAGGGCCTGCCTTGCTTCTAGCCAATGGAACATGACAATGGGGTGGGCTGTCACTCCTGCAATTGGTTATGGAGTCTTGTCTTGGGTAGACTCCCTCTAGAGACCCTTAGTGGCTTGATGAAGGAAGCAGCCATGTGGAAAAGCCCACTTGGCAAGAAGCTGTGGTCTTGGGACCTGAGGGTGGCCTCCTACCCACACCCAGCTAGAAGCAGGGGCCTGGGGTCTCCTACGGCTCTAGGAGGTAGATTCTCTCACGGGAACATCAAACCAGCTTAGAAATTAACAGTCATTCATGCCTCAGGAACCCTGAAAGATTTAAGGACAGAGATAGACAGAGCTAGTGGACCTTGAAAGGATGGCCTCCTAAAGGTGAGTAGGATGTGCAGGAAGCCATGTTCACTGGAGCAGCCTTCTCCAGCTTCTCAAAAACCCAAACCAACCCCACTGCCATCGACTTGATTACAACTCATAGTGACCCCATTGGGTTTCCAAGGTGGTACATCTTTACAAGAGTAGATTGCCCCATCTTCCTTCCTTCCGCAGAGTGGCTGGTGGGTTTGAACCACCAGCCTTTTGGTTAGCAGCCAAAGGCCTTAGGCTCTGCACCCCAGAGCACCTTTCTTTAGCCTCTAGCTTAGCTACTTTCCCGAGAAGTCCATGGGTGCTTGTGGTAGTTAAGGTTGTGTGTCAGCTTGGCTGGGCCTGGTTGAGTGGCTGGGCAGCTGGTGGTAGTTATTCCCCATGGTGAGACTGGCAATGAACTCCATGGTGGGACCTACCACAAGCAGCTGCTTTAGGGATATAATCTGCTTCCCACATATAAGCAGCAGCTTTGGGAATAGTCTCTAACTCACGGCATGCTTGAACCTTGCATGTAGCCATGTTGTTGTTCAGCAGAATACCATGCTCTGCCCATCTTGGGACTTTCAATGGACTTGAAACACTTGCCTGTTTTGTTGTTTGGTAACAACAGAGCTGTGCCTTTTTACTTGTCAACCTTGGACTTGTCAGCCTCAGCAGCCAGCAAGCTGTCTGAGTGAAGAAAAGCCTCTAGCTTCAGTGGGCCGGGAGCAGGAGGCAGAGCTGAGGCCCAAGGCTGAGGGGCTTTCATCCAGCCCTTAGAGGCTGGCACTTTGAACTTGGACTTAAAGCCTCCAAACTGTGAGAGAATAAACTCCTGTTTGTTCAAGCCTCCCGTTTGGGGTATATTCCTGTCAGAGCGGCACGGGGAACCAGAGCAGTGCTGCACACAGTGACGCACTTGGCTGTTGATGGAAAGGTTGGTGGTTCCAGTCCACCCACAGGCCCCTGCAGAGGGATCAGCCGTCCAAACCCTGCGGCGCCCAGTCTTCTCCAACCCAAACGGAGTCATTCTGAGCCCGAGTGAACGCCACAGCAGCTGGGTTTATGGCTTTCTGGGCTGTGAACTTCTCCCTAGAGTTGCTGCCTCTGGGCTTGGAGCCTGGAGAATGGTCTGATGGGGAGATGCTGTGTGTGGGGGAGGCCACACGGGAGAACAAGACCATCACAGGCCCTCAGTGTTGATGCCGACCACGGCAAAAGCGAGAGGCAAATGAGGGGCCACGGGCAGGCAGAGGTAACCCAGCCTGGGCCCATTTGCATCCTGCCTGGGCCTGCCAGCTGCCTTCCTCCGGCTCTGAGTGAGAGGGTTCTGAGCCAGGGTTCCCAGCCTTCTTGCCGCGAGGCGCCAGGACGCGGGTGGCTGCGCAATGTTGCCGGCGCTCTCCGCCTTCTTCATGCTTGTCTTCGTGCTGCTGTGCCTGCTGGGCATCGGGGCCAACGGCTTCATCGTGCTGGTGCTGGGCGGCGAGTGGTGGCTCCAGGGCCGGCTGCTGGCCCCCGACCTGGTGCTGCTCAGTCTGGGCGCCTCGCGCTTCTGCCTGCAGTGGGTGGGGCTGGCCAACAATTTGTACTACACGCTGCACCTGGGGCAGTACTCCAGCGGGCCGGCGCGCCAGCTCTTCGGCCTGCACTGGGACTTCCTCAACTCGGCCACCTTCTGGCTGGGCACTTGGCTCAGTGTGCTTTTCTGCGCCAAGATCGCCAGCTTCGGCCACCCTGCCTTCCTCTGGCTCAAGTGGAAGCTGCCGGCCTCCGTGCCCTGGCTGCTGCTCGGCTCCCTGGCCGTGTCCACCGTGGTCACCCTGCTGTTCTTCGGGGGGAACCACTCCATGTACCAGGGCTTCTTGATCGCCGACTTCGTGGGGAACCAGTCCTACCGGGCGTGGAGCCACCAGCTGGAGATCCACTATTTCCTGCCGCTGAAGCTGGTCACCCTGTCGGTGCCCTGCTCACTGTTCGTGGCCTCCATGGCGCTGCTCATCCGTTCCCTGCGCAGACACACGCGCAGGATGCGGCCCCACGCGCCCGGCCTGCGGGACCCGCGCACCCAGGCGCACGCGCGCGTGCTCAAATCCCTTGTCTCCTTCCTTGTCCTCTACGCGCTGTCCTTCTTGTCCCTGGTCATCGACGCGGCGGGCTTCTTCTCCTCGGAGAGCGACTGGTACTGGCCGTGGCAGATTCTGATCTATCTGTGCACCTCGCTCCACCCCTTCGTCCTCATCCTTGGCAACCTCAAGCTCCGAGGTGTGTGCCGGCAGCTGCTGCTGCTGGCCAGGGGCTTCAGGGTGGCCTAGGGGCGTGGGCTTCCTACCCAGACCCGCCAAGAAACTGGAGACCGCAGGGCCACAGTGCGCCTCACGGAAGTGTCCCCACGGACACAGGGGGCTCCGGGCTGGGAAGAAGAGGAGGAATAAACTTGGGGCCTCTCTGAGCTGTTAGGGTTACTATGCAAACGGGGCGAGGGTCCCATGGGAGCAGCGCTGTCCTGAGGTCTGCCCACGGTGTTCCTAGCCTCTGTGCTTGCTATCCGGGCGTCCGCAGCTAAAAGCCGCGATTACACGGCTCAGTCGGCTCAGCTGCCTCCGGGGAATTCGGAGGAAATGAGCGTGTCAGGGGCTGAGCCTGCGTGTGGATGGGGCGCAGCGACCTTGGTGGACGGACGAGGCAGTGGTGACCAGGAGAGGCCGGAGGGGCGGCGTCGGGGCTCTGGGTCTCGTGGCCGGTCCGTGTACGGAGGTCCTTTCTCTCTTCCAGAGCCTGCGTTGTCACTCACCCCCCCTCCCGTTTTTCCTTCCCATTCCACTTTCTGCGTTAGATTTTCTGTTCTTCTGAAGCCTGAGTGGCAGCCAGACCTCGTGTTTGTTATTCCTCTAGACAGAGACACACTGCGAACTTCTTCTTTTTCAAATACACTCTGGAATTTTCTTTTCCCCAAGCAAATGTCACAATGTCACATCTGTGTTGGATAAACATGTAATTTTCATTCTGAAAAACAAAGACTCAAGGGTTTCACTTAGTTTGTGTCTAAAACTTCTTTTAAAAAAACTCTATTAAATTTTATGTCTAAATATTGCTTTAAAATTATTTGCTCCAATTAAAATGCAAACTTTTTAGAAATACTTTTGGAGGAAATTTTAAGTAGATTTAGGTGTCTCAGAGGCAGGCACATAGGTTTTTGCTAAAAGGCATCAATCTGCAAATTTCAGGAGTTTTCAATTTCTGTAAATAGATATGTGTATGTGTGTGTGTGTGTGTGTGTGTGTAGGGCAGAGGCACAATACATGTGCCTGAGATGAAGACAGCCACTAATGGTGGGTGAGGGTCACTGGGAAGCAGTTCAATGCTCAAGTGGGCCTGGATCTCCTTAGAGAGTGGGACTCTGGAAGGCCAAGGCCCTTATCTAGGAGCCCTGGGCATAGTGCCTATGGCATTTGACTGCTAACCAGAAGGTTCGTGGTTCAAACCCACTAGCCACTCTGTGGAAGGAAGATTGGGCAATCCACTTCTGTAAAGATTTACCACCTTGGAAACTCAAAGTGGGTCACTATGAGTCAGAGTCGACTCAATGGCAGTGAGTGACTAAATCAAGCAGTGTCTTGCTAGGAGCTCTGGTAGTGTTGTGGTTAAGGCATTGGACTGCTAACCTAAAGGTTGGTGGTTCAAACCTGCCAGTCATTCTGAGAGAGGAAGATGAGGCAGTCTGCTTCTGTAAAGATCGACGGCCTTGGAAACCCTAGGGGGGTCGCCGTGAGTCACAATTGTCTTGGTGGCAGTGGGTAAGGGTCATGATATGAAGTGAGGGAGGTGGAAGGAAAGAGAGCAGAGGTTTTACCCTTTGAATACATAAAGGAGAAAGGAGAGAAATGAGAAAAGCTAGGATACTATATACACTAGTGACATGACATATAATTACATACTGTA